CGACTGCCGATGGATTGCCAACACCAACGGCCAAACGCTACCGCTACCACAATCGTTGCTGCTATAGTTGCTGTCAATCGTTTTCAGTACCTGATCTTTCTCAACCTGCACCAAATTATATCGATATTATCAATGCCGTCACTAACAAATGACATCAATGATGATGAAGATTTCAGGTTTGGTAAAATAAAAAAAACAATAAGGTAAAATAATTTAGATTAAATCCAACTTTCCTAATCTGGTAAACAAAACAAACTGTTAGTGGTGACATCTGCATGCCATTGAAGCTTGTCCAAAACCGAAAGAATGTCAGCCGATACACTGCAGCGGTTATTCAAAAAAATCTTATGGAACCTCGGCAAACGAGTAACTGACAAATATTTGCTTCTTATTTTCGTTTTCGCCTTTCCTTCCGCTCCTTCATTCCTCCCTCTTTTTCACTCTCTCTCAATAACAATGCTCCAGAGCGTAGAAATTCGAAATAAACAAGGTATTTAAGCAGGAAAAAAATAACAAATTTTCTTCACTGACTTGGCGATCAAAAACAATCGAACGAAGCAAGCAACCGACTAAGCAAGCGAGCAACGCTTCTTCAATAACTGCCAGAACGTTGCGACTTCAGCAGTGTATTGCAGCGAACCTGCTCGCAAAACCTTTAAGAAATTTCTTCTAAGGGAGTTTTGAATACCCAGAGGAAGATTATGGATTACTGTCGCAAAGCATAGATTCTAACTGTGAAGAACGTAAAGAAAAAGCGGAATAACATGATACTGAAATCAGCACCGTTGACCACGTCCACTGAGACCGGGTAAAACATTTTTCATACGGTTCACACGTAGACAGCGTTAAAACACTGGCAGTAAAAGAACAAAAAATTTGGAGGAATTTACAGAATTAAATGACCTGTTGTATTCTTTCCTTTTCAAAGTTTTTTCTTTACTTTTTGATTTCAAGACAAAAGGAAAAAAAGTATTCCTTTTGTCTGAGCAATGTGTTATTAGACAAATGTTTTTTCTCACTTATTTTTGTTCTCTGCCGGATAGTTATGTTAACACGAAGTGTAAGTTGCCAAATTTTTTAGTCAGGAAATCACAATAGAACGGTCTTGTTAAACATTTTTTTTTTTAATTTCAAGCAGCTGTTCCTCCTCCCTCTTCAGAACTACATTATCTACGTTGAAGAAAAAATAACGGAGTCCTTTTTCCTTTTCTTTTTCAAGTCAAACTAATATTGAAAAAAAAAGCTGTCTTCCAATTTTGTTTCATCCAGTAGTAATTAAACGACAAACAAAAGTGTTATCGATACCGTTCAAAAGATATGAAACTGTTCGTTGCAGTACTTGTCATATTATTCGTCCTCTTTTTCCGTTTTTCCTAATGCTTATTTATCTTGTTTTTTGGGACATAAAACAACGTGACTCTCAAAGTAACAAGAAAAGTACCTACCAATTTAGCTGCAGTCCGATGGTAAATGCCAGTCAGTAACGGAGGTTCGTAAACAGAGATGACAGCAGCGCCAACATTAAAGTTTACTTAAAACGCTGTGAATTCTGCGCTGCTGCCTGTGTAGCTATCAAAAGTTAGCGACCGGTTTATACCAGAAACCGCGGATACATTTCTTGGCTGTTCAGCGGTAGAGAGTAACATTAGCAGTAGCAGTACCGTCAGAACGTCAACAACAATGCTTTGAGTGAACAACTTTCTCCAGTCATTCTTTGCAAATGTCAACAAAAATATATAATATCAAGTTTTTCCTCTCGCTTTTCTTTCCCCTTCTAACATCATTGTCATTCCTTCATTGTCCAGACATTACTTCATTATAAAGCAGCTTTTTGTCATATTAAAAATACTTTGGTAAATTTCCTCTTTTTTACTTTACTGATAGCATTTACTCGAAACTCTTCACTTAGTTACAACTTTTATAATCAGGAACCATTATTATACTTAGAAAAACATCGCTTTGTTTTTGTTTGAGAAAAAAACAATGATAACGCTGGATTAAAGCTTGCAACATGAACAGACAGATATAAGATAACCAAATGCACCGACGGCTTTGAGGCCTACTGTTAGCTAATGAATTATTAATATATACTTTTCTGTAAGTATTTTACCAAACGCCGAGTAACTTTGATCGAAAAAAAGTATACATGTCCCTTTTTCCCCGCTAAATCGCTGAGTCACAGATATTCAATATAAAATCTTTAAAGAGTTCTGTTTTCAACAGACAAAAATTTTTATAAGCTTTGGTCTGTTGTTAATATTTTAAAACTGACTGTTCCACTACCTTAATAAATTTGTTTACCTATGCGGCGCAGAGTATGAAAATAGTAAACGATGACAAAAAACATCTGTAATTAAAACTACAATATTAGTTAATGGCATTATGACAGCGAAAAAGAATATGGATTTGTAATTACCAGCCCTAATGACAAAATCAACATCCGGTTCTTGATTTCGGTCGTAGATCCACATTTGTACTGCATCAGTATCTATTGACCACTGAGATAATCGACCATCAACTTAAAAAGTAGTATGAGAGGTAGAGCAGATAACAACCGTAACCTTGACAAAATAGTCTTAATATTGCACAAACCATTCCACTTCTACCTACTTTTGCAAAAGTTATTTTCAACTGACTGACTATTACCCCTCAAAAATCAACACTTCCTTCATCATAATATGTTACTCCTTTACCATACATCAAAAGAACGTATAGAACCTGCAAATTACGGTAGTAATACCAAATTAGTAATTCACATCTGTTATTACCAAAGAAGATAGGATATACACAAACTTTTTTACATACCCATCAAAGTTGAAGGTCCGAAGAATAAATTAAAAAGGGAAATAATTTCAGAAGCAAATAGATTAAGAATAAAAAAGAATTTTACGATCAAGTATCAACTCTGGTCGCTGTACACTACATCTTACTAGTGATAGTGATAGAAACAGGAGGTATACTCTCGCATTCAGCTGCTAATAAATAAAGGTCCAACAATGATAGTTATATTTGTGAGTATCATGCAGCTGAAAGAGGTGAACTAGCAGTAGCTTTTTTGACTAACTGCCCAGACTGTTTTTTTTTTACGCGAAGACAGTGATATATGTGGAAGAAGATTTCAAAAATTTCTTCACAAAAATCTTCATTATGGATATTAAAAGTCCCAAATCAATTGTCAAAAGACACTGCATCATATAATTTATTTAATTCTACAATTTATTTATCAGCCGTCTGCACAGTTCATCAGTTACCAACCGGTATATCACTGAACCAAGGTAGTCCAGTTCATGGTTTAACATCAAGTCATTCATATACGTCCCGATTCTAAAGAACATCAAACAATTATAATACTGCAAGCATTACTCCAAGCAACGACGCAAGATCGTGTTACTTTTATGGTTTTAGTAGCACCTTGAAGTAAAGGCAACTTACTGTCAGATGCTCTGCGTTTTTACTGCGCTATATTTAAAAACGAGCGTTTGATTTATATGCGGCGTTAAGAGGTGAAATTGGCAAAATTCCAGCGGTAATCTTTGGGACTCCATTCTCTGATGAGTCCTACATATTATTGTGACAAAGGATTTCGGGCAGCATGATCTAGTTTTCCGCAATTGATGCTGATTTTTATTGCGTGGTATGTCCTTTAATATTCTACTGTTATACTCTGATAGTTGTGTTTTTTTAATTTATTCCTTATTTTTGAAATAGAATTTAT